CCTGCTGGGTAAAGCCACGAGGAACCCCAGAACGGGCTCCCACAAGAGGGAATGCTTTATTTTTATATAATGTTGACTCCTGGTTTGTTGTATGTAACCTTTATGATGTTGAAAACATTTCTTCTCATTTAATTTCTTCAGGGCTTTTTTTTATCAGGAAGGGATGTTAAGCTTCATCAATAGCCTTTTTTTTTGCATCTATTGAAAAAAATTGTATGATATCTCTACTTAAGTCCATTTATGTGTTGTCTTATATTTATGGATTTGCATATGTTGAACATATGCACATTTTGCATCTCCAGGATGACCAGCTTGGACGTGATGTATGTACCTCTTGATGTTTTGTTGAATAAAAATTGCTAGCATTTTAAGACTTTTTTTTGTTCATCTTGGACGTTGGTCTGTAGTTGGTTTGTCTTGTTTTATTATCTAGTTTGGGTATCAGGATAGTCCTGGCTGTGTGGAATGAACCTGGCAATGTGCCTTCCCTTCCCATTTTGTGGAACAGTGTGGAACTGCTGTTAGTGCTCCTTCAATCATTAGTGAAATTCAGCAGTCAGTTTCTCCAGTCCTGGGCTTTTCTTTGTGGGGACACATTCGTTATTGCTTCAATCTCATTGCTTGTTCCAAATCTGTTTAATTTACTTATGTCCTCTTCATTTAACAGTGGGGGTGGGGTCATAGGTGTCTAGGAATTCATCCATTTCCCCCTAGATTTTCCACTATTTTTATTGTAAGTTATCCATTTATTCCATATTGATTTTCCACAGCATCTGCTCTGACCTCACCTTTTGTGTCTAACTTTATTAATTAGGATCTTTTCCCTTTCTTGCAGTTACTTTGGGTAGGGCTTTATTCGTTTTGTTTATCTTTTTTTGTCTGGTTGAATCAATGCACTGTTCTTTTAGTGACCTTCTTTCATTTCTGCTTCAGGCATTATTTGTATTGCTGCCTCCTGCTTTAGACCTTGGCTTGTTTTGTCTTTCCAAAACCCTCAGCTACATCATAAGGTTACTTGAGATCTCGCTCTTTTTTTTTTTAAGTTTCCTCTTGGAATTGTCTTGTCTGTATCTCAATTTTAGGAACTTAAAATTTTCTTTCCCAATTTCTTTAATGACTCACTGGTCATCCAAGAGTGAACAGTTCAATCTCCAGATGATTGTTCAGTTTCTCTTGGCTGATGTCTAGTTTTATTCTGCTATCATATGATAAGAAATTATTTCAATTCTTTTGTATTTTCTAAAACTTGCTTTTTTTTTTTCATAGGACGTGGTCTGATTTACAGAAGGTTTAGTGGGATGCTGAAAAAAAAATGCATTATGTTTCTGCTTGATCCTGTTGATATCTTTTAGGTCCATGTGATCTGTGGTATAATTCCAAACTAATTCTAAACCAGCTTCTCTCTCTCTCTCTCCTTCCCTCCCTCATCCTCTCTCTCAGATGTGTGGGGAGTGAGGGGTTTTGTTGAGAAACGGTTTCACATGGTCCACAAATCACTATGTAGCCGAGATGGACTTGAACTCCTGGTCTACCTGCCTCTATCCCACAAGTGCTAGGTTATAAGCACGTGCTGCCACACTTGGCTGACTCTGCAGTTTGTTGAGTTAGTCTGAACTGTGTATCTAAAGATAGGAGTCGGGGAAACTGAGGACCTGCTGAGTTGTATCAGGACCTATCTGACCTTTTATGTCTAGCAGTGTTGGTTTTATGATTTGGGAATCCCAATGTTTGGTGAGTGTGCTTATAACTGCTGTATCTTCTTGAAGAATCATTCCCTTCATTAATGTGCAGTGGTCATCTTTATTCTAATTATGGCCTGAAGTTTGATCAGGTATCAGAAACAGTAAGTTCTTTCTTAAGATGGTTCCTGGGTGCTGCCCACCAATTCAAACAGTGTGATACAATGGGATTCTTGCCCACTGCTGACAATGGACAAAGTCTCACCAAGTCCAGCAACTAATTTTGGGGCTTGTAAGTGCTGCAGGCTTGCCCTGAGGGTAGCATCCCATCTCTTTCCACCTTCTTTTGAAGGAGCCCTTGATTCTCTTCCCCTCTGGGGAAGCCACAGGCCAGGAGCTGTGTCTGGCTTCTTTTCTTGGTGTCTCCCTTCTTTCCCTCCATGCTATGCAGGTATCCTGTCATTCATTACCTTTGTGAGTTTCTGAAACCTTTCCTCACTTTTGAACCATCTCTTTTTTAATTCTAACTCTTTATCAGTGTCAGGTCCGAAGGACACTCCACTCCCCTATATTCTGGTGCCGGTTCCCCTCTACCAAAGGAGCCATTTCCTGCCACTGTCAGAGGGACAAATGACATCTGTGAAGTCTACTAGCACACCCAAGAGCATGCTGTCCTCCAGGCTCTTTCAACACCACAATTACCTGTGGTTCTTCTCAGTTCCTCTCACCCTGCTCCTACCCTAAACTTCTCCAGCTCGTGGGCCCCCCTCTCCTAGCCTCTTATTCTATAACCCTACTCTTTGGGGCCATGCTCCCCTCTCTCTCTTTGTCTTCCTCTCCTGGCCCCCTCTCTCTTGCCCCTTCTCTTGGTCTCTTCCCACATTCTCATCTCTCACTCCCCTGCCACCTCTCCCTGCCTCTTCTCACAACCAGGCTCGATCTACTACTTTCTCTCCCTCATCTGGACTCTTCCGGATACCCCTGGCTGTCCCCCCCCCCCTCATATCTACAGTAAAAACCTCAACCATGTCTTGGAGTGGTCACGTCATAATCAGGTCATGTGGAAGCCATGTCTAGTCATCTGGACCCCTGCCACCTCACTCTTGAAGAAAAAAACAATGCATCTTTGGCAAAGTAATCTTGATGAAAATAACGCTGAGTTCCAGCAGCTTAGTGCTTAGAATTTGGTGTTAAAGCAATAGTCCTGAGGTCAAGGTATAGGTATGAGTATGGAGTCCTTCTTAGTTCTTGTCTCTACGGTCTAGAAGCTGACACCTAGCTTTCCTAGCAAGCTATCAGGGATGTGTACACGTTTAGGCTAGGACTTCATATATCAGAATCTATACAATAGATCCTTTTGAGAATGTGCTGGTGTGAACCCATTCGCAAGCAGGAGATACCACCCGGCAGGTGAGTGGCAGGCTTCCTCCCTCACCATAGTAACCATTCTGGAGGCCTCTGATAAATACATTGCCCACAGTAAAGGCTTTTATGCTTGTGCCCTGCCGTGAGGGTTTAATTTGTATGATCCCTCCTGTGGAGAGAAGAGCGGGTCCTGTAGCTTACCGAAGTCCTTGTTAAATGCTGCCAACAGAAAGGGCACAGATCAAGCTCTGCTACGCAGTCCAGGCTATTCTTCAGAACCAGTGCCTTGACCAGAGTTGGGTCAGAAGGCATCCTCTTGCGGGCACATGTGTGTCTGTAGGAGCCTTCTTTTGTTTGTATGATGTCAGCATGTCAAGGTGATCTTGAAACTGGGATATAGTATTCCAGATTCCCTCCTTTATTCCTTGTCCATTCTGTCACACCTCACCCTACTATTCCGTCCTTCCTCCCTGCTTTCCTAACAGGAGCCACATGTTTGATCTTTTTATCACTTGTTGGCTTTTTAAAACATGTCGCTCTTTTAATATAGCCAGCCTGACATGTCGCTCTTTTAATATAGCCAGCCTGACATGTCGCTCTTTTAATATAGCCAGCCTGCTCCACAGGTGTTAGGTTTCGAATCTGGGACAAATGGCTGAGGTGCCTATTTAACATACCAAAGTGGACCTGGCTGCCAAGTTCTCCCTGTATTCATTCATTCATTCATTCATTCGTTTGTTCATTCATTTCATTCATTCTCTCTCTCTCTCTCTCTCTCTCTCTCTCTCTCTCTCTCTCTCTCCACTTGGTTCTGAAACCTGGGACCAGTCATGTTCCTTTTTATTTCTTTTTCTTTTTCTTTTTCATTCAACAGGAATGAGGATATTCTAGAGACACTTGTGACCCTCACTTTGACTCTCAGACTATTGAAATGATGGTCCCAGGAAACTGGAATTTCCAGCCTGAGGGAGAACTTGTCTTCCTGAAAGAAATTTGTGTTTTTTTCAGGCCACCTTTCAGGAGAGGCTGGAGCCCAGCAATGAAGGGCCAGTGATAGGTGGGATCACACCTTAACCACACTGCTCAGGTATGTCTGTCACTCTGGTGCTCTTCTGAAGCCTAAACATCGTGTGAGGACCCCAAAGATGGACCTGGGACTGGGCTGCTGAACCTCTTTGTTCCTTTTCCCAGTGTGACCATATTGAATAAATCTCTTTATTTTCTGCTTCTCCCTATTACCATGGCTCTTTTAATTGTCTTATTGAGGACAGGTGGCTTAATCTGGCTTGTGAGGATAGCCAGAACACAGGCTCTGGCCCTAATAACTCTGGTAATACTGTCGCTAAGATTTGTAGACTTTTCATTTTGAAATCATTTTACCTACAAAAAAAATCACAAAGAAGTTTAATATACCCTTCATAAGATTCTCCAAATAGTAACATCTTGTATAACCGAGTAATTTAGAAGATTAGGAAAAACCTTTGATGATGGACTGGCTCAGAGTAAAAACAGTTTGAGTTCAGACATTGAAAAGTCTCATTGCCTCCATGGCCATCTTTGCAGGTCACTGTGACTCTTCTTTGCCGGTTCTTCATGGTTTACAGTAAATAGCACATGTAACCTGGCCTCCACATCTGTGAGTTTCACATTCCTAGATTCTACTGTAGGCTGTGGATTGAAAATATTTTTTAAAAGTTATGTTTTTTTTTCTTGTCATTATCCTCCAAACACCACAGGATAACTATGAATACAAAACTTGTATTAGGTAAAAGTAATCTAGATATGATTTAACATTTACAGACATGCATAGGGTATATATGAAAGGCTATATACCATATTCATAAGGATATTAAGCCTTCTCTAACTTTGATATTTGAGAAATTATGAGCCCAATCCACCCTGGATTTAGAGAGAACTCTGTGTACCTTTCTCTTTTGTTAGAAAAATAATTCTAGCATTGTATAAATTGTTCTATAATTTTTTTCCATCTAGCTTTTTGATCCAGAAATATTTTCATATAAACATGTAGACTTTTTTTCCCCTGGTGTAACTTCCCTTTACATGGATATATTTTTGCCTGTTTATCCAGTTCCTGTTGGTGAAGGCTACTGTTTGGATGGCTTTGCATGATCTTGGTTCTACTTGTTGGCTGGGTGGTGCTGTCGGTTGAAAGCAGTAAGGAAACACAAAAGGAAAAGCCTGTGAGAATTATTGTTGTTTTCCTGTGTGGTCAGTTGAGGGCTGTTCTGTGTGGCACCACACTCAGGATGGGGATTTAAAATAGGAGACAGCTAACTGCATTTATTACGGAGTTTACTTGTTAGCTTTCGCAAGTTTCAGGCCAGAAAGAAAGAGGTCATTGTATTTCGGCTGCCACTTTGCCCTTTAGCTTTAGCTCCAAGCTGCTTCTCTGCTTCCTTTTTAATTAAGCAGTGACAAATTTGAGCATTGCTTGCTGAAGCGTTAGTGTTCAAACTTTTTTTTGTTGTTTTGTTTTTCGAGACAGGGTTTCTCTGTGTAGTTTTGGTGCCTGTCCTGGATCTCACTGTAGCCCAGGCTAGCCTTGAACTCACAGAAATCTGCCTGGCTTTGCCTCCCAAGTGTTGGGATTAAAGGTGTGTGCCACCGATGCCTGGCCAATGTTGAAATTTTTAAGCTTCATCTCTGAGAATCTACCTCCCTCTACCGATTCTCTACCTCCTTGCTTATTTCAATAGATCTTTTCCTTCACATGGGAGTTGGTGGGCAGTGTCCAAAACTGATGACAAAGCTGTCTTAGGTTCTTCACGTGGCACATGTAAAGATGCTGAGAAGACAATTCCCTCCTTCAAGACTTAGTAAGTGGTAAGAGGTAGCTTGATTGATAGACCCTGCCACCAACCACCCCTGCCCTTCTGTAGGAGGGGCCAGACACAGCTTGAGCGGGGCTAATGGAGGTGGGAGCGGAGATTCAGCCGAGAAAGAGTTGTAATTGTGAGCTGTCAGGTTACGGGGAGTCAGATTACATGGTTATTCATAGGCAAGAAGACTGTCATATGATCCGGACCTGGCAGGTTTGCAGAAGACATCCTTGTATAAAACACTGATGGGGAGGCACACGTTGTTTGGACTTTAAACATCACCTGTGATAACCAGAAAGCTAATGTGCCCAAGGTGTCACGATTTTCCGTCAGCACTTCTTGAGAATTCGCATAGTTTTGACTATGTCTCAACCTTTCCTGTAGGAAGACAACTTGAACAGCTCAGCCTGACCCATTGCTCCATTTCGACCCTGAATGATTGCCTCCTTGGACCATGGACCAGGATGGTGAGGGGGGCAGATTTGCAGGGTGGACAGCCCTGGGCTGTATGAACCTGAGCACGTTTTGTATCCTTTCGTGTCCTCATGCCCTGACTAGGTTCTCATGGGAGAACAAGCTGGCTGTGGGAGATGCTGGGCACCCATCCAGGGTAATAGAGACTGAGTTATGGAGCCGCTGCAACATCGCCAAGGGTTTGAATGAAGAAAACCTCAGTGTGAGATCTCCGCCACGCGTGTTCACTAGCAAGCAGATACAGATAGTGCATCGCTGGTTCAGTGATGGGACCCCAACTCCTGCCTCCCCCAGTGCCCCATGAACAAAGAGTTGAATCTGGTTCAAATGCGGCCCTAGTGGCAGGATTTTCTGAGTTACTTGTTAGGAGTCAGCCAACCTACAATCTTTTCACATTAGATGGACACAGGACTTTGTAGTGAACCAGGTGGGAGGACATCCATAGGGGTGAGGCATTTTTATATGGCACTCATGCAAGTGGGCTCTTCAAATTATTTCAGCCGTTCATGTATGTTAAGCAAACTATTGATTTTATCAGTGGAAACGTGTGTCAACAGACATCCATTATGCAAATGAGAAAAAACCCTCAAGTGCTGGGTAGAGCACTTTATAATTTAAATAGCTGAGGGTCTTGTAGTGGCCCCCTCTGGAGTGGGGCTCTCTGATTAAACACCAGCGAACTCCTCCGGAGTCTACATTCCTGATTAGGACCGTGACTGTCACATGGGAGTAGCCTAAAAACAATGTCTAGAACACAGCATGTTGAGATACTTGAAAGTAAATTGCAGAAGACAGGACGTCTTGTGCACTTGTAAAAGGACAAAAAGAAAACCCACCTTGCACTGTAATCACCAGGGGATTTAATTATGAGGAAAGCACAGTGCAGAGGTAAGCAGTCAGACTCAGAGCACTGGCTGCGACCTTGCTCTCTGCTTGGACATGCATATTCAAAAGTGCTCTTGCTCTTGCTTTTGGTAAGATGTTGAATACCTTTTTGTTGTTATCTAACCATTTCACCACAGACTTGAATAATATCAAAATTGTAATTCCTGACATGCAAGAGTTATTAATATTTTCAGTTAAAATTCATCTGTTAGTCTTTTGTATTTATCAATAAAGTATCTCTAAACGACAACCTGCTGTCTCTATTTTGAAAATACATTGATAAACTTCTCTCAGATAGAAAGCTTTCTGTAATATTTAAAACAAATCGTTTTATTTTACATTTTCTCCATGAGCTTTTCCATTCCACTGCTCTATAGAAGTTTATTCTGACATGATACATTTGAAATCCCTCATGGACTTCCTTATGATACATAATTAGTTTTATTTCCTGTGACCTTAAAGCTCTAACTGTTGAGACCTAGGTTGATACTGTTACAGTTTTTTGTGTGTATGATATGTGTGCACATGTGTTTACAGTTGATTGAGATAATTGCATGATTGTGTATGGTGGTGGATAACTTTAATATCAACACTCAGAAGGCTGAGGAAACAGGATTATGAATATGAGGCCAGTTTGGGCTACATAAGGAGACTGCCTTAAAAATAACCATACTATATTTTGATGAATATATAAAAACAAATATTATTCTATTAGAAATAAAATAAAAACTTTATGTATCTGGGCAAATGATTTATTTCTAGAATAAGATATTGAGGGGTTGGGGATTTAGCTCAGTGGTAGAGCTTTTGCCTAGCAAGCACAAGGCCCTGGGTTCAATCCTCAGCTCCAAAAACAAACAAACAAAAACAACAAACAAACAAAAAACAATAACAAGCCAGGTGGTGGTGGCTCACGCCTTTAATCCCAGCACTCGGGAGGCAGAGGCAGAGGCAGGTGGATCTCTG